CCAGGGCCGGAGCCCAAAGCCCTGACGGCAGCTGCTTTTATAAGCGCGCCATGGGGAGGCTGAGCAAGGGGCGAGCTGGTCAAGGCAGGATTAAGCCTCTTCTGGAGGCATGTGAGATGCAAGGTGGGGAGGGGATGGCTTGGGGGACCAGTGAACAAGCCTTTCTAGCACTGCTGTGACTCGAGATAGGGCTCATCGCAGCTGCTCTTGCAGGGCTATAACATCTCTGTCCTGGTGCCAGGGGTGGGAGTTTGTGCCCCAAACCCACGCCTGGCTTTTGGTCCCTTTGCTGAGATTAAAGGACTGGATGGGTCACAGAAACCCCATCCCTTAACAAGCAGAAGCAGTATCCTGCTGGTGGATCAAGGCAAGATTTTGTTCTCCACGGCAGCTCCCTGCCCCGGCTGTCCATTAAATCCTGCCCATGCCAGGATCTCCAGGGCTGTTTGAAGAAGTCTCAGTGCTCCTGCAAAGTAGGACATCACCTTTGCTTTGCATATGAACAAGCTGAGGCAGGGAGAGGGAAAGTCACTCATCACCAAATTTGTGCAGAACCAAGAATAGAAACCAGGGGATTCGGAGGCAAATTTTGTAATTCCTTAGAGCTGTCAGGAGAACCACAGTCCTGTGCGCCTGCCCCAAAGCCAACGTCCAGGCCTGACTCTCCAAAGAGAAAGGACTCTGACCCCAACAGGGCAAGCCGGGAACCCAAATTGCTGAACTAGTCCCAGCCCATGGCAGAACCGGAGGAGGAGCGCTGGGAGGGCCATTTCCTCGCTCACAGCAAGGGGAGACTGCTGGCATGGAGGGCGCGGGAGGGACTCCGAAATCCCAAGCTCAGAGTCAGTTTTGGGCTGACAGTCAAGCAAAGACTTTTGGTGTTTTCCAGCATTGGCAGCAGCGTGAAAATGTGTCTCTGCTGCTCTGCTTTCCTGCCTGGCCCCTTGCTTCTCCGCTCCCTTTGTCAGCCAGTGATAGGAGGGTTGCTTACTGCTCTGTCCGCAGGGAGACCTGTTGGCCATCCAAGGAGTGGCGTAGGCACAGACAACAGAGGCAGCTGTTTGTTAGCCTCGCCAGCGATCGGCTGCGGAACAAAAAGCTGGGACTGACGAACAGGGGGTGGTGGTGGTGGTGGGGGGAAGGTTTATTTCTCTATTCACACATGGATAAATACCAAGGAGAGGGGGAAGAGAAGCCAGCCAGTAACCTTCAGAAAAACAGCAAACACACTAAAGCTGGGTCTGGAGGGAGATGAAAAAGACTTCTCTAAAATTAAAAACGGGGCTGAAGTCCTGTTTGTATTGACACGGTTTGATGACAAGCTGCAGCAGTCATTCCAACTGGCCCTTGCGTAGCACCCTTCATCCAGAGATCTTAACAGAATTTGTACTGAGTGAAACGAAGGTCTTTGCTGATCTTTAGGAAAACACCATTTTAGGAAATGGAAAGTAAGATAAGAACATCTTTTCAAGCCCCCTGCATCACCAGCACAGACTATTTCTGCAATATGATGCAACTGGAACCATACTGGGCACACTGGTGTGATTCTAGAACTGGGATGGGTCAGATGTTGGATAGGCAAAGGGTTTCACAGTAACAATGCAAAGGGGGCCTCAACTTGACCTGACACTGGCAGGGTTTCATTGCTTCCAGTAGGAGAAAGGAGAAGAAACCAGGCAAGGGTACACTGCTCTGAGTTTGGGGAATGGCTTCCTGAAGGAGAGGCAGTGGTAAGGAGAATCATAGAAAATGAGGGTAGGAAGGGACCTCAGATCATTTAGTCCAACCCTGTGCTCAAAGCAGGACCAGCTTCAACTATAGTCTCAAGGGAGGCACACAAAGACCCCCGCCCTGGTTACTTCAAGACTCAGACGGACGACTCAGAACAGACTGTTAAAAACAAAGCAGCGAGGCTAGCTGGCCCCTGGGGAGGAGGAGGAGATGACGTCCGCCTTGGGGCTGCCTAGCTCCGAGCTGTTCCCTTTGAATGTAGCCATCATAGGCTGGGCTCTGATCAGGAATACTGAAGGAAATAAACCTGATACAGTGAAAAAACAGGGCAGTTTGGTGGCTGGGTCTCCTGGAGTCAAATCAGCCCCAGGTGCCAGCCATAAGTGCCCAATCCTGCATGGGACTGAGCAGTGCTGTTGATTCAGGTGCAGTTTCCTCATTTGTACTCACGTGTTACAGATATAATTAGTGACCTGGGTGTAGCCCATAAGCACAGAGAAGCCCGTCTCAAAGAGCTTTGAGTTGCACTGGACAAGACAGACAAGGTAAGTCAGCTCCAGCCCTATTTCACTAAGAAAGGAAAGCTCTGTTGCAAGGAAAAGATTAAGGTGAGTTCAATTTTCCCCATGAGCAACCACTATGGCAACACCCAACAGATTCCATTCCCAAGAGCCCTTTGGTTCTATGAGCTGCAATTAAGACAACACAAGCAACGGGGTTAATTTGTAAGTGGCAATTCCTTTTTAATTAAACGAAGCTATTTATATATGTACAAGTCCCACCCTGAAATATTGCACTATTGAAAAAAAAGTACATCTCTCATCTAATTGTTCAGCATCTCTTCCCCTGCTTGCACTGTAGTATACACAGATTCACAGCAACTCCTGGACAATTCTTCCAGAAGCAAAGGGGCAGTCAGGGATCTCAGGAAGCCACAGAAGTCTGCTGTCCATATACATCTCAGAGGGGTTTCCTTCATGTTTTTTCACACCTGTCTCCACTTTGGAAACGCATCCACAGCAGCTTGGTCCAAGCAGCATTAGATCCTTTTGAATTGCCCAGAAGAGAGGACAAATGAAAAACAAGTTCCCAAAACCCGAAGCAGCCATGATCTCTTTAGGGCTTGGCCAGCACAGGTTTCTTAGGGAGCATTTCTTCTGTAAGGGCTTTGGTTCTCAAGCTCACCCTGGAGACTGTGGAGTAGTGATTCATCTGTGTCCCTCTCGGCCAAGAGGGCTATTCCAGTGTAGATCTAGTCAGTACAGTTGTAGTATGAGTGCTGGGGCTCCACACCCCAGAGAAGCAGCCTCAATAAGCCATGGCCCCAGGGTCCGGTGGGCTGCTGAAGAGCACGTCTGCTTTGGCATTGATGAAGTAGGTTGCAAGGAGCGAGAAGATGAGAATGGCGATGCCCACCACCAGCGTGATGATCTAGGAGGAGGTGAGAAAGGACAGACACATATCAGTACGTGAAACAGTGGCAGTCGCCTCTGCATTGTGGCCAAGGGTTTGCCTGCTAGAGGTGTCCACGAAAGAGATGACCTGAAGCATTACACAAGGGGCATGCAAGGAGGTGATAATCTCTTTGGGTCAGAGATTGTCCTTTCCACTAGAGACTAGATCAGATCCCCATCTTCAGCAAGAATCAGCATTCACTACTTCAGAGGAGACGGTAAGGAACCCGGTAGTGGACAGAAACGGGATCATCTCACGCTTGAATCAGGTTCCTTGACAACACCCAAGAGCCTGAGGGGTCTCAGCCCAAGAGCATCTTAAATGCTAGCTCTAACTCTGGCTGTTCCATTTTAGCTCTAAGACTGTGGAACTCACTGATATCTCAAAGGTAACCCTTACTTTGCTGACACACAAGCCTTCAAGTAACAAAGTGACAACTGCAGAACGAATTTCATCATCTGACTGAAGATGATGCTAAGAAATTGAGATGAGATGCAAGTCTCTGCTTTCACCTCAAACATGTGACTATCTCTGTGATTGATCCCACTATCAAGCTGCCAAGGCAGCAAGGCACCTCACAGGTGGGGAAATCAAAGTACATTCCATTAAAAATGTCAGCCTGATTTTGCAGCCTTAAAAGACCAGAAATTCCTTGATTCCTTCTTTAAAAAGTTGAGCCAAGACTCCCCTTTCTGCTGCTTTGTGCATACACATAACATGGCCTTTAGGTCACAGGCTCACGTGTCATTAGAAGGGAGATCACGTCAACATTCCAGTTGCCGCAATTAGGGATAAGATCTCAAGGGGGTGTCGAGCCTTTCCAGCCCGGCTGTGGATCCAAACAACAGCACTTCAACCATTTACTTCTTGCGGAGGTTTTCCTCCACCATGAAGGCTAGAGTCGGTCTTTACAAGGACTAGGTGTCTCTGCAGAACTGTGCTCCACAAGCAAATACACTAAGGACATTCCTGCCTCCATGAGTTTTGCAAAGTCCACACTTATTTTGTAGAATATTGTGTTATTTGCAATGTCCTGTTCATCCATAGGATCCCAGGGTGTTTTCTGCACTTAACTCAACATGCATGATAGACAGCACTGACCTTCAGTTTAAACTGGGTGGAATACAGAAGAAGTTCCATAGTTCACAGCATCACTGAACAACTACAGCTAGAACTACAAGGGGAATGCTAAGGAATCAGAAGGAATCAAGCTGGAATTTTATTGGATACTGAAGTCAATCCCTTGAACCTTGCAAAGTGTCACAGGCTCTTTAACCATCCCCAAAAAATCCTGGAGACGTCTAGATTTGTGTCCTATCTCCAAAAAGACTATCTATAGCAAGCAGCACAATGACTTGAGAGGAAGAGCATCATCTATGAGCTCTCAAGAGTTGACCAACCCCCCACTCTGGTTGATAGCACAAGGTGCTGTGACAGCTAACTAACTGTCTGATGCAAAGCTTGCCAGGAGGCGCTATCACAAGCCATGACAACTTTGCCTATTTCTCAGAGTCTTTCTGAGGTATTTTCTGACAGACATGTTCCATCTCACCTCTAGCTCCCTGCTGGCTACAAGAAATATCCGGGCCCGGATGTCCTTCCAGCGACTCTCTGTCCATGTGGAGTACTCTGTGGAGCCCCACTGCTTCAGCTCAAAGGCAGGAGAGAGGGCTTTACTTAGGCGGACAGTTGACTGGACGCAGAAGGGGATTCGTGAGGTTGAGTTTGGGTCTCTGGGACCTTGCACCCAGAAATATTCATATAGCTGTAAAGAGAGCACAGGGGAGTTAGAGCAGGGCACAGAAAGAGAATCCCAGTGAGCTTTTTGGGTTGAAACCACACTCATTGCCTTGGACAGGGAAGAGCTTAACTGACTATAGGAAGGTCACTGAACACCAGCCATCACCCCCAGACTGGTGCATTCAAGTTTCACTCAGCCCAGAGAAGTATTTCCATTTCCATCCTCGGGCAGTGGTGCAGCTGGTGGGCCTCTCTGCTGGCAATACCTTTCCACTTCTTTCTGTGTCTTAAGGACGAGGGATTTTTTTCCTTCATTCAACCTTCTTCAACAGGGTGAATACAGAACAGAGACGTCTCATAGAGGTGAGTGGAATTCACTTGCTCAGTGCTCCTGTTCCCATCCCCAACACCCTCAGTTTTACTCCACTTACTTCCTTCTCAGGGCTGGACATTTTTTCAGGGTTCTGGCACTCCTCCTTGGTGAAGTTGACAACTGTGCCTGTGAGGTTGACCAGGACCGACTGTACCAGTTGGGTGGTGTTCACTGGGCTGTTAACAGCAATGTAGTGCTGGGGAACGTTGTCAACTAGTATAGGCAGAGAGAAGTGGGATTGGCACGGAGCACACCAGAAGCAAAAGGTGTTACTAGAGCACCCCATAAAAACTGCCAGGTGACAGAGAAAGGACTAACCATCCCCAGATTCTTCCCCTAGTATAGCTTACCCATGATGATTTTCATGTCCTGTTTAATGATGGACTGGAACCAAGAGTTATTGGCTCTAATCAGAAACCCATAGAGCATCCGGGAGACCTGGAAGCAAGAGTGAGATTGGCTCATTAGTTCAATAACATGAAAGGAGAGATCAGCGAGAGGAGAAAACAGAGGACCTCAATGCAGCAACATTTGTCTTCTCAGTATTCAGCTGCAGAAGATGAATTAGGACGTACTTCCACTGGCTCAGTGCACTGAGCTTGGAGCCAGGGCATGCCTGTGTTCCATGTGCAGTTCTGGGAAGCAGTGTGATCTAGTAGCTGAAGCATAAGGTTTGGATTCATGATTCTTGGGCTTTATCCCCACCTCTGCCACTGACTACTTGCATGGTTTAGGCCAGGACACTGCATATGTGCCTCGGTTTCCCTTGCCTGCTCTGTAGAATGAGGATTAGCTCTGCTCTGTCTTGTGGGCTATGTGGGGCCCAAGCATTTGTAAGATGCTGGGATCCTGATGGAAGGGTAACATGTTATTCATTCGGTGATGCTGGGGAAAGGGAGAGGGGGAGGCAAGCACCCGTGGAGACAGACAGGACAGCATGCTGTGTAAACATATATAAACAGAGACAGAAGGGAAATACGTGAGAGCTCAGCATGGATGCCAGGGCCTGAATTCCATCTGCTCATACCGTTTCTGGAGCTGCCTGAATAGCGGAGGTGCTGCCGTTCCCCCCCGCAAGCTGGTAGAGAGCACGGGCCACCACTGTGGCTACTTCTGCCAGGGACTGCAAGAGAAGAGGGCTCCGTGTTAATCAAGATAGGCAGGCCCAGCGCAACAGGGAAGGAAAGCCCGCCAATACCCACACATCCATCAAAGTGCTTACAGCCTGCTAGCATCTCAGCAGCTAATGCCACCATAGTGAGATAAAGCACCCGAGCGCTCGGCAACGGACGGAGAAACCACCCTTGCCACATGCACCCTGCCCAACCCACAGGCCTCATCTTGCTGCCTTGCAATGGACAAAGGAAAATGTTCCCCAAGAACCTTAGCTGTGTCTGTGACATAGATCAGAGCCTCCTCGGGGCTAAGCCCTGCAGGGTAGTCCACCAGGATGTTCTCTGGAGTGTCGTACACGCTCTGGTAATATCTGAAAGAAGAATGCAAACGGGATTGGGGAAGGGGGCGGAAAGAAACCACAGGGCATGGAATTCAATTCAGTCCGTGCCTGAAGCGGCGAGCAGGAGCATCTCCTGGGAGAAGAGTCACAGCCCTGCCAGTGTTGGCCTCCCACACGCTCCTTAAACCATTTAATGAGGCTTTATAATTAACTTGGCCCTTCTGCAGCTTCTCCCATCTGAGGATCTCAAAGCAATTTACAAGCAGGGACTAGCCCTCAGCCAGACAGGCATTATCCCATCCATCAGGCGATGGAGAAACTGAGGTATGGAGCAGGGAAACGGCCCTGCTCAGGGCTATGTCGATTAGAGACAAAGCCCCTTGTTCTCAGTTCCCTTCTCTACCGAACTCTCCTACATGGAGAAGAACGAGAATCCAAGTTCACTTGGTGACAGTCTTGCATCAAGACATCTGCAGCAGCGCACAGCTGAACCAAGGGCTGGGCGCAAAGCCCAGCGCAATGTGCTGTGGTTCCAGGTTGGATGGGACCATTCAACACCATTCTGCAAGACTGAGGGACAGTCAGCAAAACAAGAGAGAGGTACTGCTCTTGCCCCAAACCCTCCAGGATCCCCAGAGCAGCAGGGCACTTGGGTCTGTAAATGGGTTGTTTTCCCATGCTGTCTATGGAGACTGTGTGACAGAGATCAGAGGGAGGGGGGTATATATGAGGGGGGGGGGAAGACAACCTGAAAGGGATCCCTCCTCTCCCCTCCAGACCCAGAGAGGAGAGGACCCTTGTGCCACACTCTGCAGTGCATTTGGGGAGGTGGGGGGGGTGAATGGAAGTGCTTTCCAATGCCTGTGGCTTCCTGCCACCACAAATAGAAAGATGTATTAAAAAAAAAAAAGCAGCTTCTGGAAAAGCAGATGAGGCTCGGGCACGCTCAGTTGCCATTTGCTCACCTCTGGCTCGCAGCCAGCTGCAGGGAACATTTTCTATACAAAACTGGATTTCTTTCGGTTGTCAGAATAATTATGTTGCGCCTGTTCAATTACATGGCATGCGTTTGCTTCCCTACTCCCTTCTGTCCCTCTCTCCCCCACCTTCCCACTGCCTCCCCCCCTACAACATCTCTATATGACACTGCACACCCCACAGCCCATATTTCAGGAGGCTGGGCTGCCCTCTGCTGGCTGCACTCGCATGCAGAGAGTTTGGCCTGTGGGGCCAGAAAGACTTTGCCTTGTGTCAAGCTTTCATGGTCTTCTCCAGAGGCTTCCCTCCTCCTCTGTTTACTGGCAATACCACAATGCTCTCAGTAAGCTGGGGAAGGCCTCTGTCTCTATTGTAGAGGAAGGGGGCCCCAGCCCAATGTGGGGACTTGCTGGATTCAATGAGAATCCCTATGCACTGGCTTCCCTACTGTGGAGCACAGAGAAGATCAAGTGCTTGGGTTTATCTGATGGCCTTCAGGGTTCCAGTATAATTCCTTGGAACCTGGGAATTCTTACATTAGAAATGAGCTGGCCGGGCAGTGTCTGCAGTTTAGCACACAGGGCCAGAGACCAGGGAAGAGCTCTAAGTTCCAGATGAATCCCTTTTTGCCAATGTGGCTGGACTCAGCCGCTCGGCAGCTCCAACATTTAAGCTCTTTTGTTTGGACACCAGAGTTGTAGGCACTCAAGAACATCTGCCCCAATCTCTGGGATACCACTGGCCACGTTCTGACTTGCCCTTTCAAATCTAGCACCGTGTTTGGACTGAAAGGCGCAGCTGTCTGGTGGCCACTGCAGCATGAGGTGCGGGGAGGCGTGCGTGGTCTGTGTGCGCAGGGGGACGACGAGTCATTCCAGTTCCTAGTGAACAGGTGTCCACATCACAACCAGTGCCCTCACTGCCAGATTCATCCCTGAGCTAAAGAGCAAGCAGACCATGGACACCGAAGCTCCTCTTTGGTGCCCAGGTCCAGGCTTTGGCAAGTCAGCAAGGTGATAGGAAGGGGTTGCTGCTGCCTGCACTGCATCTGCTTCAGAGTGATCAGCGGTTTCTGAGGCTGCAGCTTCAAAGCTGAGATTTTAATTGTCCGCTGGACTTTAAGCTCCAGACCAGAAGCAAGTCACAAACTACCCAAATCCACCAATCCTCCATTGCAGACTCCCCAGGATGGGTAGGTACCTGTTGTGGAAGGACGTGCGGTGATCAGCTAGCACTACCCCTGGGATGTTCCTGGCCCTCAAGAAGCGCTGGAAGGACGAAGGGGGGAGAGGCTGAGACTGATTGACCTCCTGCAAAGTCACATTTGCATCCAGGCTGCTTTTGGTCAAAGCTGCCACAAGGTTTTTAACCTGAAAGGAGATAAGGAAAAAACAGCAATGATCTAGAGCTTGAAATCCTACTCTGTTTGGCTATAAGGGGCAGCTGAGTCACCCTGAACTGGGATCACATCAGATCTCAAGCAGGATCAGGGCTGGGATGGCTTGGATGGGAGACTCAAATCACACTGCATTACCCGCAACTGAACAGATTCATTCTTCTGAGAGATGGGGTCTGTGTGCACCCACAAAACAGAGTTGTTCCTTAAAGCCACCTGAAAGAAAAAGAGCTGCCCATTAACACACAGCAGATCTAAACGAAGAGTTGGTACAGAGGAACCAACCAACTCCAACCCCACACAGACCAAGGGAATCAGAGAGAGGGTGGGAGTTATAGTGATCGTGAAATAGGATAGAAATAACAGGATAAAGACAGGAAGCAGAAGCAGGAGAGCAACAAGGGGAAGGGCTGGCTAGGAAAACCACAGCTGAATTTTCACCGAAGGCAGGGAGGGAGAAATTCAATCCACACCTGGCTCAGCTCCAGAAAGGCATAAATGTTGTCCAGCCTAATGGGAAATCTGTCGTTTTCCATGTCGTACACCATCCTGGAGCTGCCAATGTAATCGAAGGTTTCCTGTGACAGAACGAGTTTATTTATCAGCCACGAGCCTGTGGCAAGTTCAAGAACTCAAGCACAAACAAGGTGGTGGGGAAGAAGAGGCATAACTTGGGGGATGTGGTGGGTGTCTAGGGGAGGGGGGAGAAGGTGTCTACAGAAAGGAGCTTTCCTACTCTCTCTGAAAAGTGGCAAGCGGAATAACCCCTTTCCCAGACTCCTAGGCAGCAGAACCTTGTGGCTTTTCACGTCACATGCAAAGCACCCAGGGGCCATCCAGCCCACAGCACTGTGACTGCCCTTCCCAAGGAGGTACTGATTACAGGTCCCCGTAGTGGCAATGGTGCATGGGGAATGTCACGTGGCCACACCTCAGGACAGTGGGAGCCAACTTCACAGAGCTGCACAAACAAGACCATCAGTGCTGATGCCTTGAGGGGAACATCAGCTGTTAACCATCAGTCCACTCTCCCTTCTCCCCTCCCCCAAGAGTTTACCCTGCGCCTCAATGCAGCTGCCATTGCCAGCACTGTGCTCTTGGAAATAAGCTGCATTTCACTGCAGAGAGCCCATATATTTTTAATCTCGCCTCTCCTGGTTTCAGTTTAGGATTTAAAGCTTGGCTACTGTAACCCATGCTGACTGATGGGGGAGGGAAGGAGAAGGGCAGAGAACAGGCTTCGAGATTGGCAGGGATGAGAAATTAGTGAGAAGCCCTCTATTAGTCTGTCAAGTCCATCATCCTGGCAGGACAGAGTAGAGGTGCCTCTAGCTGTTACTACAGAAGGGAAGCTCAAGTCCCAGCCCTGCCCTAGGAATACGGGAACTACATCACTTCAGGTTTGCAAAGCTACTTTACATCATTTTACCCTCTAAACTAGCTACAATACTTCAGAGCGATGTCCCTAGAAACTCCATGACTCAGATGTTGGTGGCTTCAGAGCAGCAATCTCACGAGGAACTGAGGGAGAACTACACTTCTGAACTTCACCCTTTTGCTGTTTGTGGAGTACAGACCAGGGTTTGAGAAGGGGCTTGTGGCTTGGAGCAGGACAGGAGCAGGAGGACTGGGGGCCCTGTTTTTTTGGGACCTGCTATAGAAAGGCTAAGGGCCTGCCTTGATAGCCCATGACAAGCAAACCAGTGACAAGGATGACCTTACCCCTTGGAAGAAGGTGAACATGATGTTCCTGGGCAACGACTGAATATCTGGCACTTTGTGGAGGGCTTCGGCAACAGCCAAGTGGGTCACAAAGGAGGAGACGGTGCTCTCCGCCCCAGGGGCTAGGTTCCAGAAGAATGAATGGCTGTCAAGCTGAAAGCATCAACAGGAGTAAGTACTTGGCATGCCCACTGTGACAATGGCATTCTGGGATGCTGGCAGAATAGAAACCTGGGAGACACGAGTCGGTAAGAACCAACCAGAAGCTTCATACCCCAACTCCAACTGCCCTAGAGATAGAGACCTAAGCAACAAGGATGCCCTCCCAGTCTCGATGGGAGAGAATCAAGTTTGTCTCCATTTTAAGAGCAGGAAATGGAGACCAAGCAACTTGTCCAAACTCATGAAGAACATCAGAGTCGGAAATAGAACTTAGGAGCTCTTAGGTGAACCCACAAAGACAAGTACCATTTAAATAAAGGCCGCAAGCTGCATCATGTTACTGACCACAGCTAGTTAGCCAGGTTCAGAGCAGGAGACAAGGATTATGGGAAGGATTGGGCACTAACCCCATGCATCTTCCCCTCCCACCTCCAGCACAGAAAAACAATGCATCAGCACGTACTCGAGCAGCAACCATGATGACTTCATCTGAAGGGTGCATTTTCCTAGAGGTATTGATGGGTTTCAGGGTGCTCCACACATTATAATCGATCAGAGGGTCGCAAAACTCTTCTAGAAATCAGATGGGAAGAGACACCATGACTCAAACAAGGATTCTGGCAGTAACAACAAGCAGGGAACAGTCATTCTGTGTACCCTGGGAGGTCCATGGCTTGCCACGATACAGTAGCAGCAAGCTCCTTCCTAGTCAACAAGACTGTATTCTGGCTGTGGGGAATCTGGAGCAAAGAAGGGATTCCAGAGTCCTTTATGCAAGAAAAAGCCAAATTTCACTCAGTCAAGGGCCAAAAGGACTACCTGCAAGGATCGTGAAGATCACAGGTCTATTTAAATACTTTCTGGACTGAGGAAAAATGGTCATTTTCCACACTGAGATGTGGGGTGCCTGGGTACAACAGGTTTTAGCAGGGAATGTTTTGGCAATATCCCATCTTCATGCTACATCCTACAGTGCCCACAGAGGAAAATTCCATGCTGAAAGCGAGAGCAGGGTCAGGAGCTATACTTTAGCAAGCTGGTGGTTGCATGTCCCTCTTTTCATTGGACAAGCTGTGGCAGTGGTCCTGCCTGTTGGAGTTCCCACTGCCAGCCTCTCACTGCACTGCTGGAGCACACTCACCTGGGTTGAGGCTGAACGTGCTCTGGATGGTCCTGCGCCTCATGCAGGTGACCGTGCTGGTGACAGCGTGCATGTGGGAGAAGAGCTGCATGGCACACAGTGGGTACTCTGGGATGGAGCCATTTCGAGGCAGGTTGTGGTCTCGGTAGCACTGAGGCAAAGATACACATTACAATAAATAACCAAGTCCTTATATAATGGTATGGTATTGTGGATTGCTACTTGGGGGACAGATTCTCATGCTAGTTCTGCACATGACTAGCTGGGTGATCTCAGGCAAGTTATTTCTCTCCCCTTCCCTTGCCTGTGCCTATTTTCCCTTCCACTTATTGGCTGTCTTGTCTACTGTTACTGGAAGCTCTCTGGGGCAGGGACTGCTTTGTACTGTACATATAGTGCTCAGCACAATACGGCCACGTTCTCAGTTATGGCTTTAATGTGTTACCATAATATAAATAGTGAGACAACATTGCCTGTTATGTGGAAAGGAATGTTTCTCTCTTAACACACCACGTTCCTTTTAAAGATGTCCAAGAACTATACAAAAAGTAGGTAAATGTTGTCCCCTTAAATCCTGAGTGAATATCATTTTCATTTGTTTCCCCCTTCACAAAAAAAACAGCCAGTTACCCTTGATCCACTGCCTGTTACGCTATAGCAAGATTGGTAAACGTCACTTATTTTTGGGAGTTGACATCTCCGATAAGCATGGGATACAGTGGGGAGGAAAAGGATAGTTCTACTTAAATAGGCAGTGTTAACCTCTCCCCTTACAGATGCTAAGGGACAGTACCTGCTTAATAATTTGAGTCTCATTGGCATCTTCAAGTAGAAAGATGGGGAAATCAAAATCCTCATAAGAAATCCCATTTCCAAGAGGGTTCCACACGGTCCAATTGCAGTGGGCATACTGAGGGCCATAATCATTAGAATAAACACCTGGAAGCAGAGAAAAATGAGCAGATCAAATTCATTGAGGGAACAGAGCTGCCTGTAGGAAAGGTAGGGCCTGCTGAGAGAACAGCAGTAAGTACAGAGAACATTGTTCCAGGCTAAGAAACCGACTGACAAAAGCAGAGATGGATTTGGTCGCTGCGTGTGGCAAGAGGAGAAGAGATGGCTGTGGCATGCCAAGAGAAGGACACACAGGCACACATTTAATGCTATCACATGCCAAGAGGCTGGCATGAGCACACAATGAGTATTTATCACATGCTGAGAGAGTGCAAGATGCACACAGAGAAACATTATACTGCAAAAGGCGACCATATAAGCAAGCACTCCGTGAGCTCTGTCATGAGATAAACATACCTCTAAGGCGTTTATAAGGTGCCAGCCACTAACACTGCATGAGCACCATAAAGTGAAGGGTATGACAAATGCAAAAATACCACACTAAAACGAATTCTGTGCATTTACATGGCACCTTTCACCACAGAGCACCCCCACGGCACAGTACAGATTATACAGAACGAGGGAATCTCTTCACCCAGCAAAATGCAGCCACTTCTAAGGTAGGATGTACAGCATGGGTTAGCAATACGTGGCAATAGTTTAGGACAAATAGTGAACAACCAATCAAACAAGTGCATGGTTGAAAATGCAGGGGGAATAAAAGGAGGCAGTGAAGCATGCTGAAATTTGGCCAGGGCTGTGGGTTTAACACGCGGGCTCTGCAGGAACAGTCACAGGATCTTTTAATGACCATGAGTGGTCAGGATGAGTTTTAGGTCTCATCCAAAAGACAAACAGCAGGAAGACTAAGTCAGCCCTGACAGAAGTGGGGGAAAAACCCAACCCCCACCCCCCAAACCTTACCATCTCTTTTTAGAACCACTGATGTTATTTCCTGGAGCGCTCAGGCCTCTCTGGAAGTCTCCCACCCCAGTGCTTCTGAATTCTGAAGAAGTCCAGCACAAGCGACTCATGCCTAGAGCGTGCATCAAGCCCGAATCCTAACTTGAGCATCCAGCAAATGCCAAACTCGCCAGCTGGCAAGCTCCTTCCCACTTTGATCACACACCCAGGAAATGCTACCTTCCGCCGCAACCATAAGGATGAAATGTTTCCTTACCAAACCCATCATTGGGGCATTTTAAGCCAGGGGAGAATCCTGGTAAAGGGCTCGGTCTGGAGAGGGCCACAGCCAGCCCAGAAACTCGTGAGGTTCTCTTCAGCTGTTGCAACAGCTCCCTGGAAGAAAAAAAAATAAATGGGGGTAAAACAGCCCAGCATGCTCTACCGATCTCAGAGGGGAAGACAGTGAAAGGATCAAAGACCCTCATTAAAAATAATTAAATAAATAAAAACATTCATGAAGTCCCTGCG